GAGCCTGGGGGTGCTGAGCCTGGGGGTGCTGAGCCTGGGGGTGCTGAGCCTGGGGGTGCTGAGCCTGGAGGTGCTGAGCCTGGGGGTGCTGTGCCTGGGGGTACTGAGCCTGGGGGTGCTGAGACTGGGGGTGCTCCGCCTAGAGGTGTTTCGTCTCGCCGAGAGCCACTCTCCCCTCAGGAGCTACGTGAGTGGTTTGCCAGGCGCTGGAGGCGTGCTGCTGGTGCTGGAGGTTCTTCGGCTGCAGAGGGTACTACTGCCGAGCGTCCTGGCGGTACTCGTACTGTGGGTGCTGGAGCTGCTGGGTCTGAGGGTTCTCCTGGAGCTGGTGCTGCTGAGGGTGTTGACGCTGAGACTGCCGCTGGAGGTCCGACTGGTGGTGCTCCTGGTGGTGCTGCTGGAGGTTCTGGAGCTACTGGAGGTGCTGCTGGAGCGGGTACTCCTGCTGGGGGTACGGGTGCTGCCCCTGCTGTTTCTGGCGTCGCCGCGCGGCCCCGGCCGTACTTCGTTCCGCTCCTGCAGCAGGTTCTTGGTCTTACACCTTCTCCTAGTCCTCCTCCTCCTCCCTCAGAGGGTCCACAGCCTGTCTCGTCACAGTCACAGCTACAGCCTGCCTCACCTTTGCCTGCTCCTTCTCCCTACGCTGGTCCGACTTGAGGTCATACTGAGCGTCGTGAGCCTGCGTCTCGTCCTGCGTCGCCTGTTCGTACTGCGCGCACTAGTGGTCGTGGTTCGCGTCAGCGTCCTCCTCCTGTCCCTTGCACGCACTGGATGTCTCTGCGTCCGTCTACTGCTCCACTGCGTGCCCCTTTGCCTTCTCCTCCTGCTTCCTCTCTTCCTGCTCTTGCCGACCCGGAGTCGGACTCTCTTCGTGCTGCCAGTCCTATTGTCACGCGTCTTCTTGCTACTGCTGTCACTGACCCTTCTTTCGAGTCTTCTGCTGCGTCTGCCCTTGTCACTGAGCTCGTCGACTTTGCTGCGCGCTGTCGTCTAGACTACGCTGCTAGTCTTGTCGCTGAGTCTGAGTCTGCCTGTCCTCCGTCCGTCGGGGGTGAGTGTGCCCTTGGCACGGACGTCCTTGAGGACAGGCAGGAGGAGTTCCAGTGTCTGGCCGCCGCTTCACCTCATCTTGCGTCTGTACTGCTAGCCCCTGAGGGAGACCCGGATGCACTAGACATCCCGACTCCGCGCTCTTACGCGGAGGCGATAGAGGGTCCCTACTCCTCTCAGTGGCAGGCAGCTATGGATGCAGAGATGGCTTCCTGGAAGTCCACAGGCACCTACGTTGAAGCTGTTCCCCCTCCTGGGGCGAACATCGTCAGTGGCATGTGGATTTTCAGGGTGAAGCGGCCGCCGGGTTCTCCGCCTGTCTTCAAGGCGCGTTACGTGGCTCGTGGCTTCAGTCAGCGGTAGGGGGTTGACTACTTTCAGACCTTCTCCCCCACCCCGAAGATGACCACTCTTCGGGTACTGCTGCACGTTGCTGCTCACCGTGACTACGAGCTGCACTCTCTCGACTTCAGCACAGCTTTCTTGCAGGGCAGCCTGCACGAGGAGATCTGGCTGCGTCGCCCACCTGGCTTCACTGGTTTTTTCCCTCCTGGTACCCAGTGGAGCCTCCGGCGTCCAGTCTACGGTCTCCGCCAGGCTCCACGTGAGTGGCACGACACACTGAGGACTACGCTTGCGGCACTTGGGTTTGCTCCTTCTACTGCTGACCCGTCGCTGTTTCTGCGCACCGACACCTCTCTGCCGCCATTCTACATCCTCGTGTACGTCGACGACTTGGTCTTTGCCACAGCGGACACTGCTGGACTCGCCTACGTGAAGTCCGAGCTGCAGAAGAGACACACGTGCACAGACCTGGGTGAACTGCGCAGCTACCTTGGCTTGCAGATCACCCGGGACAGAGCACGCCGCACCATTACCCTGACTCAGTCACACATGGTGCAGCAGGTCCTTCAGCGCTTCGGCTTCACGTACTCCTCGCCTCAGGCCACTCCTCTGCCTACTCGCCACTCGCTCTCAGCTCTGCCTTCGGATGAGTCCGTAGAGTCGAGTGGCCCGTATGCAGAGCTTGTTGGCTGCCTCATGTACCTGATGACCTGCACACGACCTGACCTTGCATACCCTCTCAGCATTCTCGCACGCTATGTTGCTCCTGGGAGACACCGACCAGAGCACATGGCTGCAGCGAAGAGGGTGTTGCGCTACTTGTGCAGTACGTCGGGCATGGGGCTAGTGCTTGGAGGGCGCAGTCCAGTGGTCCTCACTGGGCACGCGGACGCTTCTTGGGCTGACGACCAGGCTACGCAGCGGTCATCACAGGGTTACACCTTCGGCCTTGGTTCCGGCTCTGTCTCGTGGCGGGCTACTCGCTCGTCTTCTGTTCTCGGCTCCAGTTGTGAGGCTGAGATCTACGCCGGGGCTATGGCTGCTCAGGAGCTTCGCTGGCTCACCTACCTGCTGACCGACCTTGGAGAGCCGCCTCGTTCTCCTCCAGTCCTGTACGTAGACAACAAGGCCATGCTGGCCTTGTGTCGAGAGCAGAGACTGGAGCACAGGACAAAGCACATTGCTCTCCGCTACTTTCTTGCTCGTGAGCTGCAGCAGCGTAGACAGTTGCGACTTGCGTACGTGGCCTCTGAGGCCAACACTGCTGATGTCTTCACCAAGGCACTTGCTCCTTGTGATCATCAGCGTTGCTGCACGCAGCTGGGTCTTGTGCCGGTCTTGCCTCACTTGCTCACTTCTTGACCTTGCTTGTACCTTGACCTATATATACTCTTGCTCTTGCTTGCTTGACTCTTGTATATCTCTATATATGATCTTGCATGCGAACTGGCCTTGTGGCCCTTGACCTTGCGCTCGGAATGTGTGGTGACTTTGTGATCCACCCTGAGCTTTGTTTTGCTTTGCTTGACTAGTCTTGTGACCCCTTGTTCTCCCCCACTTTGCCTATGGGGGTGTGTCAGAACATTATAGCTTACTTATTTGTGTAGGCTATAGTGGGGTATCCCATAGGGGGTACAACCCAATTAGGGTTTCCTATTTGTACTCTCTTCGCTCATAGTCATTCCATCCTCGTTCGCTTCTTCTCACACCTCCTCCTCCCTGCTGGCTGGTACGTCAGCCCCTCGTTCCACGTCAGCTTACTTCGCCCTTACGTGCCATCCACCAGCCAACTCCCACGACATCGACCCACCAGCATGACACGACCACCAACCGAACCAGTCATCACCCCCGACATGATCCTGAGCCACAGAGTTTGCGACCCTCGAGGAGCCCGAAAAGTGGAGTTTCTGATCCGCTGGAAAGATCGTACCCCCACCGAGGACAATTGGGTTCCCCTGGAGAAAGTTGAAAATCACCCCGTCGTCACCGACTACCTGCGTAGCCGCAATTTCCGAGACATCCACGCGCTTTCATAAGGAGGACCTCCTTAGGAGGGGGGGGTAGTGTAAGGAAATTCATTTTTCCTTACTTCGCGTCCCTGCTCAACGCGTACATCACTGTAGCACATCAGTCAGCACCGTTACCACTCGCGACCATCGCATCATTCATCATCCCGCCCTTTTTCGCACATCGCATCCCGACCTCACGGCTCGGCTGGTAACCCGCGCTCCGGACCTACGCTTCGACACTTTCCCAACCTCAGTCCCAGGCTCGTCGCGCGACCATTACCGTTACCACGGTAGTTTCGCTATATAATGTTCGCTCATGCCTTCGCTCATTTGTATTCTTGCTTCGATAGTGCAATTCTCGTTCGTTCACTCAATTGCACTCGTATCAGGCCCCAACTCTGAAATTTTCAGACAAATGTAAAGGCTAACTCTGAAATTTCAGAGTTTTCCGAGAGTGTACTCTGATCATTCAGAGTACAAACGCGTTCTTGACTGGTGATTCGGACTTCACGGGATTCGTACTGTCAACGAAAAATCGCTGAGACTCTGAAATTTCAGAGTTAGCCTTTACATTTGTCACTGAGTTTTCGACCAATCATAGCAGAATCGTCCTGACACCTCAGATGTGCGCCATCAGAGCACAGCAATTTTGGCCAATCACCAAAAAATCGTGTCTCACATTGCTGGTTCTCCTTTTCAGACCACAAGATTCGCCCTCCCTGACACAAAAACTCGCCCAATCACAAGATTCGCCCAATCACCACAGAATTCTCCCTGACACAAGACTCTGACACAAGATTCGCGTCTGACATTGCAGATTCGCCGTCAGAGCATGTTCTCCCGAAATCCCCTTAGTCTAGCATGTTTCAATATCAGATGAAGGAAACGCTGAATACATTTCTGATGAACATTAAATACATTGATTTCGATGTTCAGACTTTATTTTTTTAGCACTCTGAAATTTCAGCCTTTTTTTTATACCAACTCTGAGAGTTACAGACTAAAACTTCATACTAGTCTGACGAATCAGACAATTAAAAAACGAATCTGAGGGCCTGGCGCGGGTTACCAGCCGAGCCGTGAGTTTGGGATGCGATGTGCGAAAATGGCGGGCTGATTGTCGAGGCGAGGATCGCGAGTGGTAACGGTGTTGACTGTGGTGCTACAGTGATGTACGCGTTGAGCAGGGATGCGAAGTAAGGAAAAGCGATTTTCCTTACATACACCAATCTTTATATCTCGTTCTGCTGATTGTAATCGAGTCGAAAACATATAGGGTCGCGAATCTGATTCTCGCGCAGCTTGGCAGGGAGTGATTTCCTGCCAGCTTACCCTGAGAGAATTACAGCACATGCTGACTAGACGCGCAGAAAGTGAGTTCAGAGTGTGGGAAATCGAAATTGTAGTTTCGTTTTCCCTGATTATGTGAAATTCGTTTCTGAAATTTGAAAGGTTTTCAAATGAAAAACAAACGTGCGCTTATAATATATCATCTTTTTCTAGGGGGTGCGCTTATAATCGAGGACCGGATATAAGCGCCCTCATCCTTTTATAAGCGCCGGCGCTTATCCGAGGCCTGCGCTTCTATCCGGGGGCTTACGGTATGAGTTGCGAGGAGTGGGCTTGAAGCCCCTCCACAACACACCCTATGACACCTAACCGCTGGTACGGCTCAAAGAAGAGCACATGGCCTGTGGACAGCAGCAACCCAAGAGCCAGCCCTCCTGCCACCACCTTAGGTATCGGCACCAGCTCTCTCCTCCCCCACTCCTTCCTCACCCATGCCTCTGCCACAGTCAGTACTCCATGTAGGGTGAAAAACACCATCTGCTCGCCTGTCATGGCTCCGCCTATGTACAGAATCACCAGCTCGTGCATCACTCCGGATACAGCAAACGAGGCTATTGTTGCTGCTGCCCTGGGGAAGCTCACATGGCGTCTGTGCCTGTTTGGAGAAGTACCGGTAGTACCAGCAGCGGCAGCAGGTGCAGCGCATCCGTTCTGCTTCGTTGCTTTTGCCTTGTGGAACCAATAAGTGTCACCACAGTTGTCAGTGAGCCCTTTCTGATTCTCTCCAGACCCGTTCACACAACCCATTTCCTCCTTCCGACTGCTCCTTTGATAGCAGCCGTTGATCCTCTCACTGTAACCATTCACCTTCTCACTGCAGCCGTTCATCTTCTCACTGTAACCATTCACCTTCCTACTGCACCCATTAATCTTCTCAACCGCTTCAAACCCATCAGAAACCCCGCAGCCGCGACCATTCACCGCATCATGCCCCCCACTGGCTGCTGGGTACCCATTTCCAAACTCAGAATTACCCTCCTTCCCTCGCGCTCTCTTCTCAGCTGCCTTCTCTCCTTCCGTTGAGCACGGGCGTTCAAGCCAATCTAATACGGGTTCGTAGACGGTCTCGCGCAGGCTGCCGCTCACCACGAGGTTCCACCGTCGCGCCCAGAACGATCCCAGCGACGTCGCTAGGTACGGGCGACGGAAGTGTGGCTCCACGGCGAAGCGCGGGGCGACGGCGGCGACGACCCCTGCGACGAGCTCGCAGAGGAGCGTGACGAAGAGGAAGAGGTTCGCGCTGTGCAGCAGCGTGATGGCCGGCGCGGGGAGGTTGAAAGCATATGCTCGGATGGTGAGGGATAGGAGGAAGGCTTTAAATGCGCCTCGCAGAAGCAGCTGGGGCGAGGATTCGGATGCGGGCTGCTTGTGGCGGCGGGACTGCTTTCTGTTGGGGGTTTCAGGCGAAAAGACGGCGGTTTTCGCCGTATCGCGAACGCGATTTCGCATGGGCATGTACAGTGCGACGAGAAATTGAAGAAAGCTGGAGGAGTAATCGGGGTCCGTGAGCGAGCCGCGGTTCCACGCGAGAGCGAGCAGGCGGAAATTGCCGAGCCACGACACGGTCCAGAACACGAGGCCCTTCTCGATGCACTCGCCGCGTTTCGCGGCGGAAAAAACGCAGGGGACGACGACGTTGAGGAGAATTATGGGGGAGAGGGCGAGGAGGCGAGGGAGGCCTTTGGGTAGGTGGCGAATGAGGAAGAAGACGAGCGAGGCTGTGACGAGATTGCACGACCCGACCGCGAGCCATCGATGGGCCTGGCTCGCGTGCTCGACGGGCAAGAGGTGAAACTCGTCGAAATCCATGGCGCGCGCGGCTCAAATCTGGTTTTTTGGCGAAATGGCGCGAGAATTAAAACGAGAGCTGGGTTAGTGGCGCTAAGGAACCACTTCGACAGCTGGGGAGTACCCAGTCCGCATTATGATTAGTGGCGCTATGGAGAATTAGCTACGTCGCATCGCCATCAATCGACAGCAACTATGAGAATAAATATGGAAGAAGGTTACACAGTTGTCTCGTTGTGGCTACTAGTTTCGAGCCGAAGCAGACAGCATTGGAGTGACCACGCGCCCCAGCTCCCCACCCCCACTTTTCTGGAAATTTGAGAAGTCTGATGTGCGTGTCGTGGACGTGAAGTTTTGCTGTGAGGAAGCACAGCACACACCACCTCACCTCACCTCACTCAAGGAAATAGCTGTGGAGGGGTGACGGTTGGATGGATGTACCTGGTCGATGTTCCGGTGAAAGGATCCTGCGGCTAGGATCCTGCCATGTCAGCAATGGGATTTGAGAACGGAAGGTGTGGTGCGTGGCTTGTGGTGTAGATCGATAAATTGTAATAATGGTGGACAACTGTATACGATTTACAGCATAAAACATACTCTCTATAGTCATTCCTCTCTGAAAGCTTCAAATGTTTGAACCAGCATGATGAATAGTGCACCAATCAGTACATTTCCCGCCTGAAGTAACACACCAGAGCCCAAACAGCAATTCAAGCCAACCCCGAGAGCACTAGCACACCTTCTGACACTTCGAGTTGACTGAAAGCATAAAAACCGACAACTGACCACTGGTGAGTATGGTACCTGGCGGCGGTCCGAAATGCGGAAAGACGTTGACGAGTAGGCTGGCGGCAACGCTAGCAGATTAAGAGCAGAACATAGAGGGGTGTTCAGTCGGCGACAGAGCAAGCGTCACTGTTAAACTGGATTAGCACTGGGTGGAAATGCCGAGACTAGCGAGAAGCTCGAAATTCAGAATCGTCCAGCCGGCGGCTCGCGTGTACGTTGTAATTGGCTTATGCGTCAAACAGACTCGCGTTGCTTCCGCTCGGGTCGTATCGTTCACGTCTCCATTGCGTCCGCACAGCGTCCGGAGTCAGTTTTCGGCAGTTGCACATTTTCCTGATGGTCTACGACATCCTCCGAACATTATCGCACTAGACCGTAGCATCTTCACGTAGCTCCCAGGAGGCCCCCTCGTTACATCCGCGGCATCGAACCATTTGTTCCGAAATCGCTCTGCGAAACAGTTTTCGCCACGAGAGGCGGCCTGTGCCTCATCCGGTTCGACGTCTCGCAACCTGCGGCACGGCCTCTGCTTTAACTCGCCCGTTTGCATTGACTCCTCCGCATCGACCAGTTGTGCTCTCCGACCCCTCCATATGCTGCTTAGCCTCTCCGCCTGCTGTGACTTGTCGAGCCACGAGATTGCAAGGCGGGGAGCGAGCGAAGCAGGAGAAAGCGAAGCAGACTCTGCTTGGAGGAGAGTGCAGCAGCGATGGTCGAGGCGCAAGGAACACAGGTGGAAGGCACGCGGAAGCAGCAGCGGGCTGAGGTGGCGCAGACAGAGGCAATAGTAGTCCGGGCGGGCGAGTCTGGACTCTTCCTCACGGGAATGCGCGTCGTGGTGGGCGGCTCGTCCAACAGCGTCGTTAATAAGGTCGAATGGGGCTGTCGGGTTTGTCGCTCTAGGCGTGGTGTTTATTGTGTTTGAGTCATGTGTCACGTTGTCAGGTCAACTCTTCTTGTGTCACGTTGTCAGGTCAACTCGTCTTGTGTCGCGTTGTCAGGTCAACTCGTCTTGTGTCACGTTGTCAGGTCAACTCGTCTTGTGTCACGTTGTCAGGTCAACTCGTCTTGTGTCACGTTGTCAGGTCAACTCGTCTTGTGTCACGTTGTCAGGTCAACTCACCTCAGGTCAACTCCCCTTAGATCAACTTCCGTCAGGTCAACTCCCCTCAGGTCAACTTCCGTCAGGTCAACTCCCCTCAGGTCAACTTCCGTCAGGTCAACTCCCCTCAGGTCAACTTCCGTCAGGTCAACTCCCAATTCCAGCTTCCCCTGCTGGCCTGACTCCCCTGCCAGTCACCATTTCATTCTTTTCACGTACCCCTTATTCGCTCGCACCATGGTTACATGGTTACTCCCACGTGCCCTATGACTCCCCTGCCCGACCACACAGGTTGAGGACAATGTGAGGCGCGCAGGGGGAACGGTGGTGCCCGCTTATGTCCCCTCCACCTCCCTTATGCTCATATGGTTACATTCTTACCCACATCTGCACTCTTACTCCCCCGTCCGCACAGGTTGAGGACAATGTGAGGCGTGCAGGGGGAACGGTGCTGCCCGCTTATGACCCCTCCTGCTCCCTCGTGATTGTCGATGACCTCACCATGGTAACACCCCTTGCGACTGGACTGTGGTAACTAGAACGTGGTAACACTCTCCCTCGTAATTGTTGCTGACCTCACCATGGTAGTAACACCCCGTGCGACTGGGCTGACCATGGTAACCCCCCTTGTGACTGTGACTGTGGTAACCAGAATGTCGTAACGCACTTCCTCGTGAGTGTCGCTGACCTCACCACCATGGTAATGCGGCCCCAACCGTGGACTGTGGTACCATGATGGGGTAACACACCCTCTGGATATGGGGTAACACACCCTCTGGATATGGGGTAACACACCCTCTGGAAATGTGGTAACACACTCTCTGGGAATGTGGTAACACACCCTCTGGGAATGTGGTAACAAACCATGATGGGAATGTGGTCACATGTTACAGGTGTGTCCCCTTCCTTTGCCACCTGCACCCATGCCGTGCAGCCCTCACATGTCTTTTCTCCCCAGCAGAACACTCCATGCGCGAGAACAGCGAGCGTGCGAGGGCAGAGAGTGTGCGAGAGCAGAAGAGCGCGTGGGAGGGCAGAGCGCGTGGGAGGGCAGAGCGCGTGGGAGGGCAGAGAGCGTGGGAGGGCAGAGAGCGTGGGAGGGCAGAGAGCGCGGGAGGGCAGAGAGCGTGGGAGGGCAGAGAGCGTGGGAGGGCAGAGAGCCTGGGAGGGCAGAGAGCGTGGGAGGGCAGAGAGCGTGGGAGGGCAGAGAGCGTGGGAGGGCAGAGAGCGTGGGAGGGCAGAGAGCCTGGGAGGGCAGAGAGCCTGGGAGGGCAGAGAGCGTGGGAGGGCAGAGAGCGTGGGAGGGCAGAGAGCGTGGGAGGGCAGAGAGCGTGGGAGGGCAGAGAGCGTGGGAGGGCAGAGAGCGTGGGAGGGCAGAGAGCGTGGGAGGGCAGAGAGCGTGGGAGGGCAGAGAGCGTGGGAGGGCAGAGAGTGACACCAAGGTGATAATGGTGGTGATGACACTGCCCACTGGCGCTGCTGTCCACGCCTCCCCCACTGCCCATCCCCCTCACCACCCATCCACCCCTCCTCCCTTCTTGCCCATCCACCCCGCCAGGAGGACGAGCTGTGCGTGAGGGCAGAGAGCGACGGCAAGGTGGTGGTCACTGCCAGGTGGCTCACCCACTGCCTCCGCCACTCCCGCATCCTGCCCCTCTCCTCGGTATGCTGCAGACTTCCGGCTTCTGCCCGTATCCTTGCTAGCTAGCTGTTGTTCCTGCCCCTCTCTTCTGCTCCACACAAGCAACATGCTCTCCTTTTTTCAATAGCATCACATCTCAATGTTTGACACATTTGCTTTTGAAGTTACTCTGGCACAGAGGGGTCATGTGTCTTCACTCCACCTGTCCCACCTGTCGCACCTTGATTTGTCTCTCTCCCCCGCTACTCTCCATATGCCCCACCTGCCTGCCTGCCACCCCAGGTGCTGCATCGCCCCATGCGGTTCAAATGTGCCATTCCCGGTGCCTAGCACCTGGTGCTGTGGTAACCTTCCCCCGCCTACCTGCCCCACCTGCCACACCTTGACTTACTTCCCACTCCACCTACCCCACCTGCCTGCCTGCCACCCCAGGTGCTGCATCGCCCCATGCGCTTCAAATGCGCCGTTCCCGGTGCTCAGCGGCTGCTGCTGAGCGTCACAGGCTACAGTGGCAGCTTGCGGCGAGATGTAGAGGTGAGAACTGAAACTGCTCATAACGAGGTATTCAGGTACTTTGTAGGGAGAAAAAAGAGCACGTGGCATTCCAGGCGCCAAGCGGCTTGTGCTGGGCCTCACAGGCTATAGTGGCAGCATGAGGTGCGAGGTGGACACTCCTTATAACGAGGCACTCCTTAGCGAGTTTTACATTGTGAGTACGAAGCACGTATGGGAGCATCTTCTTCCATGTGAGCATCATTTCTAGTAACAGCATCATCTCACGTGTGCACCGCCCTGCACTGCACTGCACTGCACTCATGCTTTTACTCCTTCCATCCTCCACCCCTCGTTCAGACCATGGCAAAGCTGATCGGTGCAGGATTCTCGGGGAAGCTAAACACTGCTGTATGCACGCATCTCGTGTGCTACGAGCTCAAAGGTTTGTGTGTGTGTGCGCGCCTGCGTGCGAGCGTGCGTGCGTGCGTGTGTGAGCACTTGTACGAGTGCGGGCTTGTGTGCGTGAAGGACGGCTGCAAGATTTGAGGCGCATCAAAACTCTGGACGGCTTATCTGCTCATCTGCTTCTCTGCATCCTCCCTGCCACATGACTCTTTCCAACCCATGCTCCACCGTCCACCTTCGCTTCTCCACAAAATGCACCATGCATCTGCCCCACCCTCCCCCATCTGCCCTCCCCTCGCATCTGGCCCTTCCTCCCGCATCTGGCCCTTCCTCCCGCAACTGCCCCCCGCCCCTGCATGTTCCACTGTGCATGTCCCACCACGCATGCCCCACCACGCATGTTCCACCGCGCATGTCCCACCACGCATGCCCCACCACGCATGTTCCACCGCGCATGTTCCACCATACATGTTCCACCATACATGTTCCACCATACATGTTCCACCATACATGTGCCACCATACATGTTCCACCATACATGTGCCACCATACATGTTCCCACACATCTGTCCCTCTGCTGCCAGGCATGAAGTATGACGTGGCACGGCGGCACCACCTCAGGATCGTCAACCACATGTGGCTGGAGGACTGGTGAGAAGGAGGTGTATGGGACAAAAGGTGGACTGGTGAGAAGGAGGTGTATGGGACAAAAGGTGGACTGGTGAGAAGGAGGTGTATGGGACAAAAGGTGGACTGGTGAGAAGGAGGTGTATGGGACAAAAGGTGGACTGGTGAGAAGGAGGTGTATGGGACAAAAGGTGGGGGGCCTTTGAGGCAACTCAAGGGGTGCCGGCACCACGTCAGGATCGTCAACCACATGTGGCTGGAGGACTGGTGAGCCTTGATGTGAATCTGAGGTGTTTGGGGCGAGGGGGGCGGTTGAGGCAACTCAAGAGCATGCCAAGGCTCTTCGTGCACTTGGGCACCCGCCTTTCGAGCCTCCGCCCTGCATGCATATCCTGTTTGCAGTGCGCCTGGGTCGTAAGGCTGCTTGTGCCTTCTCGCTTTGCAGTTTCTTTGCTGTCCGCACTGCACGTGTGGTCTATGACACGCCAACCTTCTCTTTCGGTCCATCTCCTGCCTTGCGCTGCATGTGCCCCTTGTACATCTTATTATCCCTATTCTTCTAATTATCCCTATTTTTCCCTGTGTATCCCCGTCCGTCCCATGTGCATCCCTCTGCATCCCTCTGCATCCCTGTTCTCTTGCCGTCTCCATCACAGCCTGAGGGAGTGGAGGCTGGTGCCAGAGGAGCGATACTCCGCCAGGTGAGATGCGATGCACGGGAGGGAGTGGTCTTCAAATAGGAGCCGTGACTTCAAGTGGCAGCAACACTTGTGACTTTGGGTCCACTCAAAAGTCACATCACAGCTTGAGGGAGTGCCGGAGGAACGATACACTGCCAGGTGCGATGCGGTGCGATGCGATGCGATGCGATGCGATGCACGCACCAGCTGCCATCGCTCTCCCTCTGCACTCCTCTCGTCTTTGACCAATTTCAAACACGAGACCTCCAATCTCAAAAGGCAGAGGAGGTCAGGTCAGAGATCAAACACGAGACCTCTCCCTTTCGTGTAATGAGTCGAGTTTTAAGTCGACTCAAAAGGCAGAGGAGGTCAGAGATCAAACACGAGACCTCTCCCTCTCCAGCCTCCTCTCGCCTTTGACCCATCTCAAAAGCCGCCGCCTTGTCCTCTGCACTCCCAGAGTCTGTGTTTCCACAGCACCCCTGCCACCCCTGCCAGACTCCAGTTCATCGTTCTCCCCATCTCTCTCTCCTGCTCATCTTTTCCCCCCATCGCTTCCTGGGCCTGCAGCAGTGCAGGAGGCAATACCACTCCTGGCATTCCTTTGCCCATTCTTTTCCACTGTTCCCATCCTTTTTTTGAATTCTCGATAGTGTTTCAGAGGCAACAATCCCACCATTCCTCATTGTCGTTTCCACCATTTCCATCCCATGCTTCCCATTCTTTACTGATTCATTTCCATGCATCCCCTACCCCATCCATCCCATATATGCGGCTCGTGCGCACATACCAGTGGAGAGGAGGCGGAGCTGCAGCGGCTGCAGGAGGCAACAGCAGCGGCAGCAGCGGCGGTGGAGGCGCAGCTGAGAGCTGCTGCCTCGCAGGCCTCTGCCAGCACGCCCGCAACTCAACCAGATGCTGTTGGTGCTGCTGCTGCTACATGTGATGTGGGTGGTGCTGCTGCTACAGCCGGTTCTGCTACAGCCGGTGCTGCTGCTGCAGGCCATGCTACAGGTGGTGGTGCAGTGGGTGGGCGTTCAGAGCACTGCACAGCAGGTGGTGACGTTAGTGCCCGTGGTTCAAGGGATCGTGCTGCCAACGCACATGGTACCGAGGGAAATCGAGTTACGACAGATGAAATCGGTGCTGCAGTTGGCAGCGCACATGGCACCGAGAGAAATCGAGCTATTGCGACAGATAAAATCGCTGCTGCACATGCCAACGGAGGCTCGTTAGAGAAGACTGTAGCCGAGGCTTTGGTGGGAAGGACTGCCACTCACGCCACTCACGCCACTCATGCCACTCACGCCACTCATGCCACTCGTGCCACTCATGCCACTCGTGCCACTCACGCCACTCACGCCACTCACGCCACTCATGCCACTCACGCCACTCATGCCACTCGTGCCACTCATGCCACTCGTGCCACTCATGCCACTCGTGCCACTAGTGCCACTCGTGCCACTAATGCCACTCGTGCCACTAATGCCACTCGTGCCACTCATGCCACTCGTGCCACTCATGCCACTCGTGCCACTCATGCCACTCGTGCCACTCATGCCACTCGTGCGACGCATGCCACTCCTGTCACTCATGCGACGTCTGTCGTTTGTGCTGCAATTGCAGTAGCTGCTTCTGGTGCTGCTGTTGCTGCTGTTGTGGGAGACGGAAGGGGCACTGGGACACGTGGGGCAGTGGGTTGTGTGGGGAGGCGCGATGGGGCAGGTGGGGCGGTGGGTTGTTGGGGAGGGACGGAAGCGGAAAGGACAGGTGGTGCAAACGCAGGGGAGAGTGGTGGGGTAAGGGTGGGGGTTAGAGAGGCGGAGGGGGGTGTGTTGAGAGGTGTGGGAATGCAGAGTGCTGGGGCAGTGGATGTAGGCTGTGAGGCTCGCCGGGGAATTGCAGGGGGTAGGGAGGGGTTTGGGAAGGCAGTAGACAGGATGGTGAGAGAACCTGGAGGTGGTTGTATGAGGCGAGAGGAGGAAGTGGGAGAGGCGGAGGGGGGACGAGAGGGAGGTGGGGTGGGGACTAGGAAGGCAGTTGAACAAGTGGTGAGAGAACATGGTGGTGGTTGTATGAGGCGAGAGGAGGGAGTGGGAGAGGAGGGTAGAGGAGAGGAATGGAGGGTGGTGGAGCGTGTGGAAGGGGAGGATGAGGGTAATGAGGACATGAAGGAAGAGGGGGAGGAAGAAGAGGAAGGGGAGGAGAGAGGAGATGAGGAAGGAGAGGAGATGGGGGAAGCGCAAGGGGAGGAGGGAGGGGAGGAAGTGATTTGTGGGCAAGAGGACATGGAGGATGCGGAAACGGAGGAGGAGAGAGAGGAGGAGGAGTGGGGAGAGGAGCGAGGGGAAGAGTGGTGTGAGAAAGGGGATGAGGAAGAGGAGATGGGACAGGGGGACATGTGGCAGCGAATAGTTGAGGTGGAAACTGGGGAGGGCAGGGAAGTGCGAGTGAGGCATGGTGGGGAGGGCGAGGGGAGTAAGGTCGGGGAGGGTGATGGGGGTGAAGAGGCGGATGGTGAGGGGGGTGAAGGGGGGGAGCAGTCCCCTGATCCACAGGGCGTTGTTGTGAACCTGAGAGGCATCTTTGACTCTGTCAGCGACGGGACAGGCGGTTCAGCAGGTGGTGTGGCAGGTGGTGTGGCAGGTGAGCGTGCTAAAGCTGAGCGTGCTACAGCTGAGCGTGCTACAGCTGAGCGTGCTACAGCTGGAGTGGTGAGTCCACTTCAGGCAAGCGGGCAAGGAAGTGTGGCTGCTGATGTGGCAGATGCAGCCGGTGATGTGGCTACCGTGGCAGCTGGCACTGGGAATGTTCCGGCTCCAACGACCGAGAAAATATCGCAAGTGAAAGTTTGCCACCAGCAGCAGCAGCAGCAAGAGGAACACGAGGAGCGAGCTGCTGAATCAGCAGCAGTACCTTCGCCAACCGAGCCGCAATCACAGCCACTGCGCCTGAGTGACATGCACGCGGGCATAGGCATGGCGGTGGATATGGGTGGACTGAGCTGCAGCTCCAGCCGTGCTGCTTCTGCTGCTGCTGCTGGAAAACGTGCAGAGGGGAGAGGCTGTAGCGGCAGAGGTGAGGAGAGTGTGGGGGTGCTGGTGAGCAGTGGCAAACGTGCAGGGCCCAGCAGGCAGGGTGGGAAGCTCCCAGTGAGGCGTCTCAGGGAGGAGCAGAGAGGCGGCAGTGGGGACGGTGTGGGTTGTGCTTCTCAACGTTGCAGTCCGATAAAGAGGGGTGCAGGTAGCAGTGAGGAGAAGGCGGATCGTCCTTCTCAACGTTCCAGTCCGGTGGAGAGGGGTGCAGGTGGCAGTGGGGAGAGGGTGGGTGGTCCTCAGGCTAGGTCGATGCACAAGGAGGGTGGCGGCTGTGGTGATGGCAAGGATGCGAGGGAGGAGGTGCGAAGGGGGGATGAGGGCGGTGGTGTGAAGGGAGGGGGGGTTGATGATGGGGCGATGGGAGGGAGTAGCAGCATGGGTGGTGCAACGGGAGGGGGGATTGAGGATGGCCTAGGAGGGAGGGGGGTTGAGGGTGGTGTTGTAATGGGAGGAGGGACTGGTGATGGTTCAATGGGAGGGGGAAACGACAATGGATTAGCTGGTGTTAGGGAGGCATGTGGTGGAGATGAGGGGGGTAAGAGTGAGGAGGGGGACTGTGAGGGGAGGAACAGTGACGGGGGAGACAATGAAGGTGGAAAGGTTGCTATGTGCGATAAGGATGGTGACAAGCCTGTGTGCCATGATGATGATGAAACGGATGGTAGTGGTAGCGAGGATGGGGTTAATGCTGGCGGAGGGAAAGAAAACGAGGCTGCTTGTAAGGGGGATGAGGATGAGGATGGGCCGGTCGTCTCCTCTCTTCCTGATTGGCTGCAGGGCGATGTGGTCATTGGCCACGTGGCACCCTCCCCATTGGTCAAAACGTTCCACAGGAGAAAGCCGGCCCTGGGCAAGGAGAACGTTGAGAAGGAGAATGTTGCAACGACGAATCTTGAGAAGGAGGTATGTGGGGAGCGGTTGGTGACGGTGGGGAGCAGTGACAAGGGGAAGAAGGGGGGGCGAGAAGGGAGGAGAGGGGGAGGCAGGGGACGGGGCAGAGGTGCTGAGAGGAAGAAGGATGGGCCGCTGTCAATGACTGTAGAGGGCGGAGAGAAGGAGGGGCCAGAGGAGAGTCTAGGGAAGAGGGGGCGTGAGGAGAGGGATGGGGGCAGGAAGAAGCGGAAGGGGAGTGAGCGACAAGAGATGAAGAGGCGGAGGGATGAGGAGGGGGTGAAGGGGAGTGAGGAGGAAAAAGGGGAGGTTCAGGTGGGTGGCATGGATGAAGGGGCTAGATGCGGTGGAGAGGGATGGGGGGAGGTGGAGGGCGGTGTTGCAGGTGGGGAAGAGAAGGTGCATAGGATTGGTGAGGACAGGGAGAGGGCAAGGGAGCTGAGAACGAAACGCCGTGAAGATCCCTTGAGAGATGGGAAGCAGCGGGAAGAGGAGAGAGCGGCACGAAGGATGGCGTGTGCAGTGGACGAGGTGGGGGGAGCAGCTGGGAGAGAGCTGCGGCAGCAGGAGGAGGAGGAGGAAGAGGAGGAGCAGGGGGGTGGGAGAGAGCAGCAGAAGCAGCAACAAGGGGACATAGACGGTGAAGGGAGCGAGGGCGGATGGGAGGAAGAATGTGAGAGAGAGCAGCAGCAACAGCAGCAGCAGCGGAGGGTTTTGAAGCGCCTCAAACTGGTAAGGCAGCAGCAAGAGGCGAATGGAGATGCAGAGGGGAGGGAGGGCAAGCGAGAAGAGGTGAAGGGGAAAGGCAGGGCCAGTAGAGGCAAGGCAGATGTTGCTGCTGCTGCTATTGCTGCTTCTGCTGCTGCTGCTGCAAAGCGGAGGAAAAATGAATCTGGGGCGGCTGGAGAGTCGCGGGGTGGGAAGAAGAAGTGTGTTGAGAGAGGCAAGGGTGCAGGAGGAGGGGAGAGGAGGGGACAAAGAGGCACAGGAATCGGGTGTCAAGCGAGGAGGCGTGGAGGTGCTGACGATGAGGAAGGTGTGGGGGAAGAAATTGGTGAGGTGGTAGGTGTTGAGGGAGAGAGTGAGAATGATGTTGTGGTGGTTGGTGCAGAGGAGAGTGATGATGAGGCTGTGATGGTGCATGGGGATGTGGAGGACAAGGAGGCGGATATGAATTCACGCAAAAACGCACCTGCTGCTCCTGCTGTTAAGGGGACTGATGTGTGTCCACCGACTGAGGCTGCTGGGACTGGTAGGAAGAGGGGGCGCAAGCATGCAGCGGAGGGCAGTGGTAGGGGTGTGAAGGGCAGAGGGAGGAAGAGAGTGAGTGGGAGCACAGATGGAGACGAAGAGGAGAGTGCAGAGGAGAAAGATGCACGCAGGAGGGGGGGTGCTTCTACTGCTAAACCTGCACTAAGATCCAAAGCTGCCGCTACTGCCAAAACCACTGCCACTGCCAAACCTACTGATAATGCCATACCTGCTGCTACTGCCAAACCTAATGATACTGCCAAGCCTACTGCTACTGCCAAACCAGCTCCCACTGCCAAGCCCACTGCTACCAAAGCCCACACTGCTTCCCTGACGCCCATCACGCGGTTTTTCCAGCCAATAAGCAGCTCCAGCCCCAGTGGCAGCGGTGGTGGTGCTGCTGGTGGTGGTGCTGGTGCTGGTGGCAGCATTGGTGGTCGTGCCAGCAGCAAGAGCTGCAGCCAGGCAGACGGGCAGAAACGAGACGCTGTGGCAGCAACCAAAGGGGGGGACGAGCAGGGCGAGGCAGAGGGCAGTGGAGACAAGGGAGGTGCGGAGATGAGCATGTGGGGGGGCGGCGAGCGGTGGTTCCTGCTGGGGGGGTCATCACGCAGTGAGGGGCAGCTGAGGGCCATTGTCACTAAGCTGGGCGGCCGCGTGTGTGGCGAGGCAGGGAGCGCTGCTGCTGATGCTGCCGCTGGTGGTGGAGCTGGTGGTAAGGGTGGCAAGGGCGGGAAGGGGGGGCGGAAGGGCGAGAGGGGGGAGGGAGCGGAGCTGCAGTGGCACCCCAAGGCCACGCATGTCATCCTGCCCCCGCCCCTCAAGCGCACTGAGAAGCTCATTGCTGCTCTGGCTGCTGGCCGGTGAGTGCCTACACCTCTTTTCACCCCTCTGCACCGTTGCTCACCCAATCCCCACTACTCACCCAGTGGCACCCCATGGCCACGCATGTCCTGCCCCCTCCCCTCAAGCGCACTGAGAAGCTCATTGCTGCCCCGGCTGCTGGCCGGTGGGTGGGTTCATCCATCCCTGCAAAAGCCATTGCACCAATGCTCACCCCTGCTCAACCAAGGCAGTGGTTTACGCAGGCTATACCACTGCAACGAGCCATGTCCTCTGCTTTCGTGTGCCGCCTGAGTACCCCCTCTCTCCCCACGTTCATATGCATCATACATATTCCTCGCTTTCCAACCCCTTGCGAACCACACTCCCCAGGTGGGTGCTCAAACCCGACTACCTCACAGCGAGCGCCACAGCAGCCCATTTCCTCCCAAAGGGCCCGTATGAGTGGCAGGGCGAGGGCTGCAACCGGGCCGGCACTAACTGATCCTCACTCTCATCATCATCTCCCCATTTTCCTTCTAATCACCATCTTTCCATTCACCGCCTCATCACCGTCACCCCAGGTGGGTGCTCACACCAGACTACCTCACAGTCAGCACAGCAGTGTGTCGTTTCCCTCACTGGGACAGGTGGGCGCTCACTAGATGACCCTCCCTCCTGCCACACTCATTCTCCCCCCACACCCCTGGTGGGCGCTCACACCAGACTACTTCACAGTAAGCGCCACAGCGGCCCATTTCCTCCCCGAGGTGGCCGGTGAGGGGGAAGGGCAGCATCAACAAGTAAACACCAACTGACCTTCGTCCTCTAATCACTGTCTCCCCATGTTTCCTCCGTCCACCCCAGGTGGGTGCTCACACCAGATTACCTCACAGCGAGTGCCACAGCGGGCCACTTCCTCCCCGAGGGCGCGTTTGAGTGGCGGGGCGGGGGCAGCAACAGGGACGGGACGGTGGAGCTCGCAGCGCCTGGCAAATGGCGACAGCAGTGCATCAGGAATGGGGGGAGAGGGGCGTTTCATGGGGTGCGGGTGCTGCTGGCGCCTCCTTCTGACAGCCCTACTTCCATGGTACGTGCATCAAAGGGAAAGGCTTCTGGTTCGCAAGTGGCTGCGGTACAGGGGGGGGTAGGGGAAGGGGGCGTCCTAGAGTGGCCATTTGTGAGTGGCGGGGCGGGGGCAGCAACAGGGACGGGACGGTGGAGCTGGCAGCGCCTGGCAAGTGGCGACAGCAGTGCAGCAGGAATGGGGGGAGAGGGGCGTTTCACGGGGCACGGGTGCTGCTGGCGCCTCCCCAAGATGGCCCTTCCTCTATGGTACGTGGCACGTGTGTGTGTGAAGGGAGATGCTGCTAGAGTGGTCGTTTGAGAGTGGCGGAGCGAGGGCAGCACCAGGGACGGCACGGTGGAACTCGCAGCGCCTGGCAAATGTGTGTATGAAGGGAGATGCTGCTAGAGTGGTCGTTTGAGTCTTGCGAGGGGGGGGGGGATGGGCAGCAACAGGGACGGCACGGTGGAGCAAGCAGCTCCCAGCAGGTGGCGCCGGCATTGCGAGCGGAATGGAAAAAGAGGGGTTTTCATCGGGCACAGGTGCTGCTGGTGCCTCCATCTGTCAACCCCGGAATCTATGGTACGGTACGAAGAGAAAGGCTGCTAAACAGGTGGCGGCCTGCAGGGCAGGAGGAGTGCAGTGACGAGGGGGGTTCCGTGGGATGCAATGCGAGTGCTGCTTGTGTTTTCCATCTAATAGCCCTTTGTCTATGGCTCGTGCAATAGTATGCACCTGGAATTGGCGTTACCAGGTGGCCTGGGCAGGGTAGAGCGTGGCATGACATGTCGCTGTCAGTGCCACACATGGCAGCTAGTCCCTCGCCTCGCTGTGCTCTGGCCTGTAGTCTGCTCTGCTCTGTTCCACTGCTGTTCTGCTGTTTCCGCCAGGAGGTGTCTGGAGTATAGAGAGTGAGGCAGTATAGGGTTTCTGGGTGTTGCTGATGCTGCTGCTGCTTTTCGCTGCTCTCTACCGCTCTTAACCTCTCTGCTTCTCGAGTCTCTCTATCCCCTCCTCGCCCCTATCTCCTTGTTCACACAAACTCCTGCAGGACGTGTTGCACCGCATTCTCACAGCAGGGGGGCCCGGCCGTGGCTTGAGTGCCAGAACTGTTCTACTCACCCCAAGACTCTCGATTCTCTCCTCCCTCCTATTCCCCCCAACTGAAACAACCACCTGCAGGTCATGGTTCTCCGCATGCTCACACCAAGGGGGCCAGCCGAGACTCGAGATCCTACATTCTGAGCCCGTTATAAGTCCCTGAAGCTTTGAAATCCTGAGAGCCATCATTCTAAGCCCTTGACCCTTGGCATCCACCCATGAGCTGAATCACCTGCAGAACATGCTGCAACGCATCCTCACAGCGGGTGTGGTGTGGGCAGAAGCGAATTGAACGGCCACACCCGCTGCGGCGGGTATGCGCATCACAGCTTCTGAAGCCGTTAAGCCCTGAATTCAGAACCTTGATTGAACCCTTGACCCCGTGCGCACATACAGGACGTGCTGCACCGCATTCTCACAGCAGGGGGGCAACTGTAATGCGAATGCGGCTGATATCCTCTGTCCTCTCCCTCTCCCCCCTCCGCACACAACAAAACACATACAGGACGTGCTGCACCGCATTCTCACAGCAGGGGGGGCGGACGTGGCTCGAGCCTCAGAGCCCTGTGTGGCGGCGGCTCTCGCGCCGCAGTTTGACTTCATTGTGCTCAAGCCAGGTGGGTTGGGTGCTTGTGTGCTTGTATGCTTGTGTGTTCCTGTGCATGCGCACTGGTGTGCATATGTGCTTAGGTGCTTAGGTGCATGCATGTGTACCGGCTGTGACTCAAGCCTCACAGCCCTGTGTGGCGGCGGCTCTCGCACCGGTGTGCTTATGTGCTTATGTGGCTCTCGCACCGGTGTGCTTATGTGCCTAGGTGCATGTGCGCTGGTGTGACTTGGGCTTCAGAGCCCTGTGTGGCGGCGGCTCTCGCCCCGCACTTCGACTTTGTTGTGCTCAAACCAGGTGGGGCTGTGTGCATGTGCGCGTGTGCGCGTGTGCACTGGTGGGCTGTGTGCTTACGTTTGTGCAATGGCATGACTTGCTCCGCACAGCCCTGTGTAGCGGCGGCTCTCGCCCGGCGCCTGCTCGCCCCCGTCGCGCTACGCCCTCTCCCCTCCCCCCCCTCGCACTGCTCTCCCCCGACTGGTTCATCACCCTCCTCGCCCGCCCCCTCCTGCATGCATGCCTCCCCGCTGCCCTCTTCTCTTCTCACGAGCATCACCGTGCCTACCTTGAGAACCTCCCAGCATCTGCTTTCTCTGTAACTGTGTTCTTCTCATCCCCACCCCTGCCTCGTCCCACCCCTGCCTCGTCCCACCCCTGCCTCGTCCCACCCCTCGCCCCATCACAGAGACGTCTGAAAGAGACCCTGTGGCCCGCCGCCTGCTGGCCCCCTCGCGCCACAACTCCCCCGCGGTCGTCTCCCCCGACTGGTTCATCGCCCTCCTCGCCCGCCCCTCCTCCATGCGCGTCTCCCCACTGCCCCACGTGCTATTTGACACCGAGCCAGCTGTCGTCGCCTCATTGGCCGACGTTCACAGCAGGCAGAGGGGATTGAGGGTACCAGTGAAGCAGCAGGAGGATGTGGAGGAGAAGGAGGAAGGGGAGGAGGGGAAAGAAGAGGGGGAGGAGGAGGAAGAAGACGAGGGGGTGGAGGAGGGGCAGGAGGAGGGGAAGGAGGAGAAGGAAGAAGAAGAGGAAGCTGTTGCTGACGAAGAAAGGGCAATTGGGAAAAGAGAAAAGCGCTTATCTTTCGAGAACTCGCTTCACACAGTCAATGCGGGTCACAGCAATGGCACTGTTGACGGTGATGAAGCTGGTGCTGATTTTGATGCGCATGCTGATTGTGATGCTGACACAGATAGTGAGAAAGATGATGATGATGAGAGTGGTGGCTGGGCGGCCACGGCGCATGTGCGTCTGGGTGAGAGCATTGGCCTCTCCAGCTTCACAGAGGAATCACAGGACGTTGGCGGTGGTATGGCTGCTGCCCTTGCTACTGGCGCTGGTCGGAAAATGAGTGCGGCTGGTGGTGCGGCTGCTGCCGGTGGTGGTGTGGCTGGTGGGTTGCGTAAGGGAAAGGCAACGGCTGGTGGTGGAAGGAATACAGGGTTGACAAGGCATCAAAGGGTGGTAAGGGGAATCTAACAAGGCGCAGAAAAGCAGAGTAGGATCAGAGAAGCCAAGAAAAAACAGGAAAAAAAAATGCCCACAGTTCAAAGAAGATAATGCCAGCACTGCACAGTGTGCAAGTTGTATGAGGTTAAGGAGAATAACAAAAGTTGGCCTATTCGTGCTTTTGAAGTAAGTCCTGCCATATAAAAGGTCACTGATAGCATGGCAAATGGGCATTGAGCAGCAAGTCATTTCTCTCAAGTGAAAACAAAAAAGCATGGTGTAGGTTACTTTGATGGGCCTTCTTCATGCGTAAACCTTACATCAACCTTACTAGCATTGCTATAATGCATGACACTACATATATTATAGCTTGTCAAAGCGGTACATGAAAATTCTGTAGCGAATATCAAAGGTGGATATGAAGCCTTGGAATGAGATTCTAGGCAAATTATGTTACTGATGTATGTCAACATGCAAGGTATTATTGATTTTGCACAAATGTGTTCTCGATGTTGTGACCAGACTGTTCCTATGGCGGTTGTGTCAGTCTCACCTGCCACCTCCCACTTGCTGGCAGCCACTCTTGGAGGCTTCCTTGGCGGGCATTCCTCCATCCGCCACTCTCCACCATTGGTTCACCGCACCACCCTTGCACCCTTCCCCCGAACTTTCCCGCAACCCCCGTCCCAACTCCCGTTCTCACACCCCCCTTCCCCGCCAACTTTCCGCCATTTCGCATCCCACCGCAACACCACCCTCCGCCAATCACGGATCCTCGGCCAGCGCTCTCGCTCCCTCACATCTGCCCTTGACTATGCCGATTTGCTTCCTTGCTGAACTCAACGCAACAGATTTCCTGCATCCAAGTGTTAAGGGTGTGGAACAGATCTCAGCTAGGTTGAATCTAAATTCAAGTCTTTCTAAGATAGGTGGCTGTCCTGATTCGCTACCGCGGCCATGGCTCGTCTTGTGGCCTTCGTGTGCCTGCTGGCGCTTGTGAATGCCGCTTCTGCTTTTTACCTCCCTGGCGTGGCTCCTCAAGACTTTAAGAAGGTTAATATCTTCGCCGTAAACTAAGAGAGTTTTTTTAGCATTTATGGATTAGCACTAACTTCCGCGCAATGTCTGAGCAGGAGGATCCACTTTTTGTTAAAGTCAACAAGTTAGTTTCGACCAGAACTCAACTTCCATATGAGTACTATTCACTCCCCTTCTGCCTTCCGGAAGAGGGGATTAAGCCAGTGGCGGAAAATCTGGGCGAGATTCTTCGTGGTGACAGAATTGAGAACTCTCCCTATCAGGTCTGTATTACGATTTCGTTTTCTAAGTTTAGCAACATTATGCTGAGTTGTCGCCTTCTTACGGTGCGAATCTTACCTTCTCTGGGTCGCAGTTTCAAATGAGGATCGACGAGCAGTGCAAGATCGTCTGCAGAAAGGCGAAGGTTCCCCTAGAGGAGGCTCTTCAATTCCAGGAAAAGATCGATGATGAATATCGCGTCTTCATGTACGAATCGTTTTATTAACTTGTCTTTTGTATCTTTCAACAAAGCGGCTCTAATGTCTCGGTTTGGTCATCGCAGGATCCTTGATAACCTGCCAGCAGCCATGGTCAGGATGCGCGCGGAGGAAGGTGGTGAGTCCATCAAGACTTATGAGCGTGGATTTCCTGTGGGCTTTAAGGCTCCTTCCGAAACGGTATGTCACATAGCCGCCTCAGTTTTGTTAGAAATTATGGATCTTTAGCAGATCATGACCTAAACGACTAGTCCGTTCTTAATGTGCTTGCAGAATGGGCCGGATGAGTATTTCTTGCACAACCACCTGCGGTTCACTGTGCTGTTCCACAAAGACCCCACGAATAATCTGGCTCGCGTCGTCGGTTTCGAAGTCGAACCATTTAGGTAGGTGGCAACAGCTTTGGTTTTTGTGAATCAGCGAGCAAGCTACATGCGCTAACCTAAACATGGTCATTGCGTGCAGTGTGAAGCACCAGTACGAGGGTACCTACAACCCGGCGAAGCCTATCCTCACGACCTGCAACCCAGGGAACCCGACGCAGCATGTGGATAGCGGCATGCCACCGCAGCCGATCAAGGAGAACGAGGAGGTCATCTTCACCTACGATGTGATGTTCAAGGTATGTGATTTTATGTGCGCGAGTGCCGATGTTCAGAAAATGGATAAACCTACTAGATTTTGGCGCAGAAGTTAACCGTAAGATCGAACGATGGGGACGTGAGTGTGATTGTGCCGTTAGAAAACGTAGAAGCAACACGCCAGTGGGACGACAGTACTAGTCTGGAGCTATGGTGTGTGATAGGCGAACACATATAGGCTGGTGTATTATGAACGGATTCGTAGAAGACTGTAAGGTGACGCGGTCGTAGACATGGGATTTCGGGCAACAAGGCAGCAGGAAAGTAATGAGCCAACAATAGTTCAGATCCTTCAGTTTGGAGCCTGCACGCCTCGTTTAGTCCCCGCATTCTGACTCCTTGCGGTATTGGGTACAAGAAATGCATTTGGTTGAAATTGTCTGGGCTTCTTGCCTGTGTAAGATTCATGTTCATCTCTTTTGTGCTTTACCTCCCTCTTCCTTCCCACTGCAGCCGAGCAACGTGAAGTGGGCGTCTCGCTGGGACACGTACCTTCTCATGACGGACGACCAGATCCACTGGTTCTCCATCATCAACTCTCTCATGATCGTGCTCTTCCTCTCGGGCATGGTTGCCATGATCATGATGCGCACTCTGCACCGCGACATCTCCCAGTACAATCAGCTGGAGACTCAGGAGGAGGCACAGGAGGAGACTGGTTGGAAGCTGGTCCATGGTGATGTGTTCCGCCCGCCCAACTATGCCGGCCTGCTCTGCGTGTATGTCGGCACCGGTGTGCAGCTGTTCTTCATGACCCTTGTCACGATGGTGTTCGCGCTTCTCGGATTCCTCTCCCCGTCCAACCGCGGTGGGCTTATGACTGCCATGCTTCTGCTCTGGGTCTTCATGGGTCTCTTGGCTGGATACTCGTCCGCCCGCCTCTACAAGGCCTTTAAGGGCACTGACTGGAAGCTGAACACCATTCGCACTGCAGTCACCTACCCTGTTGTTGTCTTCGTCATCTTCTTCATCCTTAACATCCTGATCTGGAAGGAGAAGTCATCTGGAGCCGTCCCCTTCGGCACCATGTTCGCTCTCTTCTTCCTCTGGTTCGGCATCTCTGTGCCTCTAGTCCTTCTGGGAAGCTACTTCGGCTTCAAGAAGCCAGCTATTGAGGATCCTGTCCGCACGAACAAGATCCCGCGACAGATCCCCGAGCAGGCGTGGTACATGCACCCCGTGTTCTCCATCCTCATTGGAGGCATTCTGCCCTTCGGTGCAGTGTTCATCGAGCTCTTCTTCATCCTCACCTCCATGTGGCTGCAGCAGTTCTACTACATCTTCGGTTTCCTCTTCATCGTCTTCGTCATCCTCATCATCACGTGCGCAGAGATCACCATTGTGCTCTGCTACTTCCAGCTGTGCAGTGAGGACTATCGCTGGTGGTGGAGAGCGTATCTGACCTCTGGTTCATCGGCTCTTTACCTCTTCCTCTATGCGACCTTCTACTTCTTCACCAAGCTGGAGATCACCAAGCTCGTGTCAGCTATCCTTTACTTCGGCTACATGGTCATCATCTCCTACAGCTTCTTCATTCTCACAGGGACCATTGGGTTCTATGCTTGCTACTGGTTTGTGCGCCTGATCTATGCATCGGTCAAGATTGATTGAGTGCGGCTCAGTTGGCGAGATAGGATGAGTGCTGCAATGGGCTTTAGAGGTTGATGAGTTCTACCAACTTTTGGGTGTTTCGTTTGTAGGTACCTTACCTGTAGCTGATTCTATGTTGAACTTAGCCATCTCCCCGTTTTTTCCTTTCATAGAACGTGGTTTGAGGTCATGAACAATACAATACAACTGACGTTGATCAATGACAACTGTCGGACACACTACTGTAGCAAGTGTTACACAATAATCAAAGGCTTGATCATTAGATGGTTGAGAATGCGAACCAAAATAGTCAATCCTATTACTTCTGACATAGCATGACCAATCAACACCTTACAATGCTAAACCTAGCACCAATTGCTACTGCTCATCAATGCACACGCTATCACGCCTTGCCTCCTACCTTCCTCAAGACCAGCCAGAAGCTGGTCCAATTAGACTGTTATAACCTAGGATTAAATCAAGCACCGAAGTGGGTTTGAGTGCTACTGAAGTAGCATGTCGGACAACCATACACAGAGTGTGCCTTGCCAAAATCAGAACAGGTTGGCGAAAGAGGTCCAAACGGGGTGAAAAGCCGGACTGTGCATGATGGGTACGCCTTCGGCCTGAGGAAGTGGAGGGAAAAAGGTCAGTTACAAAAAAGAGGGGGGAGGACAACAAACGAGAGCCATGCAGACAATCTTAAGGCACTTACCGGTCTGGCCTGACAATCTGGATGGAAGGCGGAAGCCTCTTCTTCCCGTTAGGGACGAAATAATACTTTAGCATTGGGAACCTCCTCTGCTGTTGCGCCAACAGAAGGTGGTTGTTAGGCGGAGGAGGACACTCCCCCTTCACTTCGCCGTATTGCTGCAGCGCCTGTGACCAACAATAAAGGGGAAGGGTTGAGAGGGGGGACGGAGGGTGTGGGGATGGGTCAGGGGGGGAGGAGGTAAAGTGGAAAAAAAAGGGCACGTTTACGTAAACCCGTATCACAATCAAATCGGATCATTGAAAGGTGACTAAAAGCTGGTGAACCCACCACAGCACAGGGCCAGCACAGCGAAGAAGCAGCAGCGTACCTGCCGCACGAGCGGAAAGATCTCCGGAAGCGCGCCAGTGATTCCGACCCACGACAGCGCCCGAACGTCCTCCTCCGCGCACGGCCAGCTGGCTATCTCCACGCTCCTCCACCGCAACGACCCGCAGCGCGTCAGCGCTTTCAGTTTGGCGGCCTCCGAGATAAACTGAACGACTGCGCCGACGACGAAGAGGAATATTAGCGTCGCTAACAGTCAACACTCAAGCTAGCGGATTCAAAAAACGAAAAACCGAATAAACCTCTTAAGCTAGCGATCGGTCAACAACAGTGGTTGGATTGTACCTGCATCCCCGGAATAGGTGAACTCGATATGCTGTATCGGGTACGGACACTGCAGGTGCGACAACTGCTGGTCCAACCACCGTACCTTCTCGACTACGGGCACTCCTGCCTGCAAGACCGACAAGATAGCACCGTCGTGAGAGGGTGTCGTAAGCGATAGCGTCGAGCGACGTAATAACGTGACGCTTCAACGACTTGTGACTATAGTAAGTGATCTAACAGCACGCGGGGTCGACGTACCCCTTATTGCGCTTTCTGACATACCCCTTAATGGGATTAAAGACGTACCCCTATTCTGGACGTCTGCACGAGAATCTGCCGGTCGGGTAGGTGGTCAAGCGACATGTAGTAGGAGGGATCGTCGAGATCGCAGAGCTCGGGATTCGATTCGAAGTGCAATCTCTGAGGCGATCCGCCGTGAATCGCGGCGTCACGCGGACCCGCTCCCACACCGGCGGAGCTATTCAGCCTCGCGGCGTATGGTCGCTCCACGATATGCATCGCGCCGCTCGAAACCAGGACCAGATCCCGCTTTATATCGGAGCAGGACCACTTGCCTCGCCTTTCCTCTTACATCCTATTTTTAGAACAGAAGCACAAGTAGCAGAGGTTCGGCCCAGAAAGACGGTTGCACTAGGAGCGTCCTGAACGTTAGAGCAACTGGTGGAACCAATAAGCGATAGGCTGATGATATGCTGAACCTAAAGGAAGAGTTAAAAACTATCGCAAAACCAAGTATCAGCTGATAAAGACACTGATTAAGACACTGATAAAGACACAAGAGCGTAGGCACAGAAAGAAGGGAAAGTGGGGTAATCGTGATCATCAATCGGATCGGTGATCACCAACTGACGCGCGAGGACAGGCGAGAGTAAGAGCGGAGAGGAGACCAACTTGACAGAATCACAGGGGAGACGAGAGGAGAGGAGAGAGCAGAGGAGTCCAGTGACCCGCGCGAGGATCTGGGTGGGACAAGGGGAGAGGGAGGGAGGCGCGTGGGTGGCGAGGCGAGGCGAATGGAGGTGGTGGAGCCAGTCGGAAAGGTGGGCGAAACTCGGCGAAGAAACCAACTGGCTCTCCAAGAAATTGGTGGTGGTGGTGGATTGGTGGATCTCACGGCTGGCCACCCAGTGTCTCGAAAACGTTGATGATTTCGAGGTACGGGAAGGCAAGCGACGAGAGGGGTCAGATTTGACGACGAACGATGGACAAAGCGATTGGAACCGGATGAGCGAAACGAGGGAGGGTAACGTGCGAAGAAATGGGACGAGGAGAATGAGCGGACAGGACGACGAAGCGATGCGATGCATGGAGCGCGAGAGTGTGCGACGACGACGGGCACAAGGAGGGGGCGGACTAGGAAAATTTCCCTCGGTGGCCTGTCCCGAACGGGCAATGCGACTAGAGGGGAGAACAATTTTGCGATGCGGTCAATTGCGGGCAGATGCGAATGCTTGGGGCAGCAAGCTTGACCACGACGATTTTGCAAGTGACCATTGAACTGCGTGGTTCATTGCAAGGTTTCCGTGATTCTTGAAGTACAAAAACTTTCGAGGTGGTGACCACCGAATTTCCAAATCGCACCAGCCCTGTGAGACTGGCTTGGTCGGGAAATGCAAAAATGAGGAGATTTCCAGGCCGCGTGTGCGTCTGTGCGTCAACGTCACACACCGAACGGGCTTAAAAGGAGGCCACAAGTTTGTTTCGCATAAGAGCACTGCACCAGTTACATACATCATAGACACAAAACTTTATATAGGCGGTGTTCGCCTGCACTTTTGAAAGCAAAAACGACGGGATCAGGAAGGTCAGGCACGCCTTCCTGATCCCGTCGGTTAGGGTTCGTTAAGGTCCGTCAGCATGTTCAGCCCGTAAAAATCCTGCCGAGCCTAGGATGTCGTTCGAACCAAATGGAATCTTGTGGGCATGGCGAACGCCTCAAATCCTCCATTTCAGACAGCTTCATGGCATCCGGAAATGGGGAAGCAATTTTGTCCCCGGGCAAACATCCCGCCTCATGCCATACCCTTTCGCGGTGAATTGTGATGGGATGGCGATGTGATTGGAGATCAGAGGTGTTACAATCCTAAGTGAGACTTATGTTGAAGGAAATTGGCCCAGGACTGACGTTTCATTTTAAGCCTCCCTGATTCCGGGGAAAATTTTCCCCCTCTATTATGGGTGCACATTTTCCAGAAAAGCAGTACCCTGATTGCTGAGGGTTGTTAAGTAGTTAACACTGATTGTTCAGGGTCGAGAACTGGACATCAGAGTAGTAACGCACGCTTTTTTACCGGGGAAAAAATCCCCACTCTCCATGAAGTCTGCGCGCTGTGTTTCCTGCTGGCTGTTCACTCGACTGATGTGTGCAGGGCGGGTGTGATTGACCTATCTGGTGTGCGAGTGTAACGTTTTCCTGTCTTATTACCATGCCCAATCGGATCTCTTCAGCTGGCATGCATCAGACACGCTGCGACTGTAGTTAGTCACCCTCAGAGGCGTTCCTTCTTGAGCGAGTGTACCGACCGAACGGGCGAGTCACACCTGTTCGAGTCTAAGATTTCCGCTGTCATAGCCTATTTCGACCAATCCCAGCAAAGTATATCTGACATTACATATTTGCGCGATCTCGATGGTAGGTGTATCAGATCGAAGTTTTGAAGAAACTTCGTCTCGATAAAGCGGGAAAGGGGGGAGATTACGCACATGTGGGGGGATCACTGCGATCAATCCAAGGCGGGGTCATCGGAATGAAACTTCCGAGAAACTTCTTCTCGATAAGTCAGGGTCCACACAGTCGATACTCTGTTAAGTCAGGGTCCACAAACAGCCTTGTCTGTTATACTGTACTCAAAATCTGGGATAGCTAAACTATTACTCTGATTGGATCAGGGCTGGAAAATCAATAACTAAGAAATTTCAGTCTCCACGAAGTGGAAAGCCTGAAATCACCCTAAAATCAGGGTATTTACCCTGATAAAATCAGCCCTGAGTTGGCCCCGCCCTCGCATGGGCAAAACTGACTTCGTGGTCGGGTCTGCGGGAGGTGCAGCCGACCTTCTACAGGTGTTCGAGGGTTGCCTGTACACGAGGTGTATAAGGGAATCCGTGCAAGAGTAATCGAAGCATCCGCGAGTGCAACTCAGCCTTCCCGTGCGCATGTACAAGTTGCGCAGCTCGTGCAGAAGTTCGCGGGTGTTCGTCTGCGCAGGGTCGCGTCTGACCCTGCGCAACCTTGAGACTGCACAGGCGAATTTTGGCCAGAAATTCGAATGAGCCCTATTTTCGACCAATCAGGAGCTGACATTTTGAAATGTCAACCGAGGTGCTCAACGAAGGTGCTCGACGAAGGTCGTCGAGCAGCGACGACGAAGGTCGTCAACCCGCGATGACGAAGGTCGTCAACCGGTGATGACGAAGGTCATCATCCTGCTGAGATGCCAGGGACTTCATCTGGTTGACCAAGTTACCGGCTCGACGAGTGTGCAAAGGTGTGCGAACGTCGTCGAGACTGTTGTGGCTAAGTCGACCAACATGGCAGCACATGGTCGACGTGGCTCATCATGTGCAACTGTCAGCATGTGGCTGACAACCTGGGCAATGTACTTCACAGTGCACGTCGTGCATAACTGTCTAC